ACTCCATTCTTCAGTTAACCACTCAAATAAATTATCAGATCTTTTTCTAATCTCCTGAGCTGAAAGACTGAATGAAGAATCTGTGCTTATAGTGGCCCATATAAATAAACTCAGACACATCTACCTACAGTCCTTGCACTATTATCCCACAGTCTTTATAGCCATCCCCACACATATTCTTTAGGCTTCTGTCTGTCTAAATTAGAAAAATCAAGCAGTTCTTTTGGAATGCAGTGTACTTCCTCCTTGGTTACACTGTGGTGCTCATTAGGGCTTAAGGGTAGTTATAGGTCTAGAAACAAAAATGGGTGTTGAGGGTATATCCTGAGGATATTCATCAATTTCGGAGGCATTTGTCTCAGGCAATGTCCCAAGAAATATCATGGAATAAGCTCTTCAGATGGGAATAAGAGGGCTGGTTCTGTTGGTAGGAGCGATTCACTGGAATTCAGGGGCTCAGCATCCCTACCCCTAGTTTTGGGATCCCATTTCTTGCCAATAACGTCCTCACTTTAATTGCAGACACTACTGTTGTTGTGTGCCAAAACCCTGTGTAGGGTTTCCGAGGCTGTAGATCTTTATGAGAGCAGAAAGCCTCAACTTTTTCCAGTGAAGCGTCTGGTACGTTTGAACTTCCGACCCTGTTGTTAGCAGCCCAATGCATAACCCTGCTAAGCCATCTAGACTAGACACTATTGCACTATTATTGTTAAATGCCACCTAGTCAGCTCCAACTCATTAGCGACTCTGTATAGGGTTTCTAAGGAGTGGCTGGTGGGTTTGAACCACAAAACTTTTGGATAGCAGTCCAGTGGCTTATCCTACAGTACCAAATGCTATTAGAGATTGGGAATTCAAATGATGTTCTAATTCAGCCATTCTTATGACAAGACTCTGGGTTGGGTTTGGTTAAAGGCACAAATAATAACTTTCCGTTTTTATGAAGTTGCTTGAGCTATTAGTCTAAAGCCCTGAACTCATCTTTTTCACTTGTCTAGTAAAAGCAGGACCAACGAACCAGCATCCCTATACTTCTGAGGTTGACAAATGCTGAAGGCACCAAATATATAACCAATCAGAATCTTGTTTTTCATAAACATTTGAGTCTCACAAAAAGTGAGATATTTCTACTGCCACCTCATGCCAAGGATTAGCAATGCCCTCTTCCCTACTGAAATGATGGTCATCTGTATATTCGTTGCTGTGTGCCACTAAGTTGGTTTCAACTCATAACAACCCTATAAAAGACTGCCAAGGCTGTAAATCTCTGTGGGAGCAGAAAGCCTCACTTTTCTCCTGTGGAGTTTTTAAACTGCTGAACACACAGTAACAGCCCAACCTGTAGCCCACTACTCCACCAGAGTGCTATCAGTGGATTTAGGTCTAGTCAAACTTATATGGAGCACAAAGGCAAGAAGTGACTGGCTTACAAGCTTTCAAGAGAGAAGTTAGATTCATAGGGCATGGAGGAAGGAAGAATCTTCACTGAGTGGTATACAATCTGTCTAGGCAGGGCTGATGAAATGATACCCGGATGGATCTCTTGTGATACAATAGTGAATATTGTTATCTGGACTGCTTGTGAAGATTGGAATTGTAAAGGTAGACGTTTTTTAGCAAGGAAGGAAGTGATTATCTTTTCAGCCTAAGAGCGGAGGTCCCTGGGACTTTCAAGGGAGAAGAGTGGAGAGCGGGACCCTACCCAGAGAAGCACTGATGCCTGACATGGAGGCAGAGATGATGACGTGGAGAGATGGAGCTGTTGGGAACTTTACACCCAGAGAGGGAGAGGCACTGTGTGCTGATGACTGGGGGCAGGCTTGTAATGTATACCCTTTGGATGGCTGATGATGCATGGAGGGGATTGTAACCATAGCAATAAAATGATATACTATAGAATGAATGTAAAACTAATGTTCTCCCATGTAAACTATCACATAATTCACAATAAAACATTAACAAAAAAAACCCCATATGGAGCTCTGGTACCATAGTTGTTACAAGTCAAGCTGCTAACCTCGAGGTCAGCAGTCTGAAACTACTAGCCACTCCATGGAAGAAAGATGAGACTTTCTGTTCCTGTAAAGATTTAGCTTCAGATACTTTATTCAGGGTCTCTATGAGTCATAACTGACTCCAAAGCACACCACCACCATATACATATGAGGAAGAAACAGAGAGAGAGAGAATCCTGGTGTGGCATTGTGGGTTAATGTGCTGGACTTCAAAGACAGTTTGAACCACAAGATTGGGCCTTCAAGGTCACTAGGAGCTCCTTGGAAACCTATACAGGTCACTACGGGTCGGAACTGACTCTATGGCACAACTGATGAAAGAGAGAGAGTGATTTATCTCAAGGAAATGGTTCATGCAGTTGTGGAGGCTGGCAAGTGCCAAATCTGTATGCCAGGCATCAGGCTGGAGGGTTCCCTTGACTCACATAATTGCAGGAGTTAATGCACCCCAAACCAGCAGGTCAGATAGCAGGCTGCTTGCTGGCTCATGGAGCTGAGGGAGCTGGCAAATCCCAAAATCTGTGAGTCAAATGGCAGACTGCTGGCTCATATCCCAATAACCGTAGGCCAAAGGACAAGGAATTGGATCCAGGATCCAGGGAAAGTGATCTTCGCCAAAACATTCATATATACTGGAATCAAGAAACGATTGGTGTTTAACTTACTGGCTGCTCACATCAGGTCGCACAATGGAGGATAGTTATATTACATAACATGTGGAAGGACAATCAGTCCAATATCTGCCAAAACACTGAAAATTCCAGCCTAGTCCAGCCGACACATAAAACACTAACCATCACAAACACATACACTAGTCTGTCAGAATACTAAACAACAGCAAAGTTAACCTTTGCCAGCAACTTGCTCCTCACTTTTCAACTGCACCATCTTCCCACCTCAATGCCTTCACCCTCTCCCTTGCCTTTATATCCAGCCAAGGACCACGCTATTCGTTCTCTTTCTTCAATATTTTCTGTCTCTCTTCCGCCAACCCAGGCTCACAGCTCTATTATAGAACACCAGGATGATCATCACGATAGTTGCAGCCCCTTCCTCTCACTCTAGCCCTGCCTACACTCTGTTGCCAGATTAACTTTGGGAGTACAAAAATGTCATCTTGACATTCTCTGACTCTAAAACCTCTCCAACAGCCCCACTGCCTGGGATTTAAATCCCAAGTAAGTCCTTAGTCCAGAACTCTATGGTACAGTCCCATCTTCCTTTCAGAAAGTACCTGTCATTGTCCTCTCTAGCTCCACCCTCCCGCTAGCTTCCTGCCATACTTGGCTACTTACTGCTCTCCACACTGTGATGGCACCTTTTGTCCTCACCTCTGCCCTATGAGAACTCCTGGTGGGGCACTGTGGGTTAATGCTCTGGACTGCAAGGTTGGTTTGAACTGCAAGGTTGGAAGTTCAAGCTCACCAGCTGCTCCTCAAAAGCCCTATTCAGGGTGGCTATGTGTCGGAACCTACTTGATGGCACAAACAACAACAAATGCCCAATAAAGCCATCCAGGCCCAGTATAAAGCACATTTCTTCCAGGCTGGTTTCTCCAAATCAGCAGTAACCACTTCTTCCTTTGCTGCTCCAAGAGGTTCTCTAAAGCACAACCTAGCTTATATTTTAGATATTTCTGTATCCCACCTCTCCCTTACTAAACTACAAGTCCTGAAGGAAAAGATTTTTACCTTATAAATGTCTGCGCCCATTATGCTACCCAGCAAGTTGCTGGGTGGTGAAAATACATTGTTTTCATTTACTATTCAAAAGGTTTGCAATCTGAACCCATCTAGTGGGGCAGCAATTATACTCTGTAGTAGGTGGGGTCACCATGAGCCAGAATCAACTGGATGATAAAGAGTTTGGTTTTGGTTTATACTACATATCTGAGCAATCAGCAAATGATCTCTAAATAGTTTCTTACTCAAAGTAATAACCTACATGTGAGGTGATCAGAACCAAAAACAGGGTAACAACTAGCATTAGAAAAGAAGAATAAATCCAAAACACAGTCAAAAGAAACCGATTTGAACTGATGCCTACTAGATACTAGGATTAAAGGGAAACTGCAGTACTGGAGTTTCAAGGCTAGTGAAATTACGTATGGCAGTGTTATTTAGATTAATGTAAAATCTAGAAATGGCCATTTCCAAAAGGGGACTTAAAATTTTTCATATAATAATGGCATATGCTGATTTTAGTGTCAAATTAAGCTACTGTCTTTCTTTAGTTTCTCTTCTTTACTGTTTTTTAAATCTTCTCTAAGAAAACTCCACAGAAAGCAAAATTTATTTCAAACATGTAACTTGAAAAAGGAAACATATATTGATTTGACTGTAAGTTTCAAATTCCACACAACTAAATACCTTCTTTGCTTTCAAGGTTTTGACTTAATTGCTGTTTAGTGATGACAAATTTGCCATCTATCATACATGTAAACTGATGTTATTATTTTATTTTTTAAAGGGTTTTTCTTGTTGTTATTGCTCTTGGGTGTGCACACTACAAACCAGGCCATTTCCAGGGTGAACAGGAAATAGGACTTGCCCAAGTCAGCCTCCTGTCACTGGGGAACAGACATAATCAAAGGGCAGGAGTCATAAGATATCAGCCTGAGTAGATTTCCCTCCCCCACCAACACTTCCATGAGCCAAAACCTTTCTTGTACAAACATTTGGGCATCTTACATGTTCTTTGGGACATGTTAATTACATGCAATTAAAAAAAAATATATATATATATATATGGATATGGATTTGGGCTTGCTCCAAGAAAACTGGCTTTGGAGTATTTATATGTCAGTCTCCCCTATGAAATATGAGATCCAAAACTCATCAAAAGAACAACAACTAAAAAGGCAATCTAAGCTGTGCCAATTAAGCTTTTTTACCAAACACTAGAAATTATTTCATTTAGTTGATTATCACAAATTGGGAGGTCAAAGTTGTAATTAATGGAAAGGTGTATATAATAAATACCTACTTGTATCATTAAAAGGGACTTTTTCATTGATGATTAATAAGGATTCCTCTAATCTACCTGACAAATCTTCGTGAAGATTCTTTAACTGCAATTGACTGAAAAGAAAAAATACAAAACCATATTATCACCAATCTGACAATGAACCCTTATTTGTTTGTCATCGCTGGCCCTGGGCTTCATTGATTGTGTTTACATATGGGATACTCTACGTGATGGAGAATTGTTAAAAGAAAAAGACAAAAACAAAACAAAAAAAATGAGGTTCAATTCTGTGACTCAGGATTTGTGCTGAATGATATGGAAGCTTGAAAGATTGTACCACAGTCCCAGTATCTTACACAACCTTTAGGTTATTTCCCCAAACTCAAAGTAATTTTAGAACCATTTCAAAATCATAATTTTTCTCCTTACAACACATATATATTTATTTAAGTATTACTGCACCTTTTTTAACTATCAAATATTATGGCAGATCTTTTCTACTTGAGCACAAAGATAATAAACTGATTTTTTTCTAATTTAATTCAATTATGAGAATAGGTACAAATCTGAATTGTGTATGTAATTCTGCCATGCAAGTAAGTTGAAATAAGATATATACTTGAACTGGTCCTATTAAAACCTAAAGCATTATGTCATCTATCAAGTTAAATAACTTCCATCCATAAGTAATATTTTAATTTTAAGATGTAACTATCTCCAAATTAAATCATAAAACATTATTTAATTCAGAACTATATATCAAAAGGTTTGCATTGTGTTTATCAGTCAGTTTCCTGCCTGGCACTATCTGAGGGCCTTCAAACAGAAAGCACTCAGTCCTTAGGAGAGGAGTGATGGAAAGCTATCTGCCACAACCCAAAATATCTGCAGGCTGAGGACCAGTGTACACACCACTCTGTCATGAATGTTTTAGACCACAAAGGTCACAAAACTGATACAAATACTGGACATTACCTACCCCCATCCCAATGTCATATGTGAAAATGAAGGCAGGAGCTGCTAAAGTCAAAAAACTCAGGTCTTCTGATTCTTACTTTAGGCCTCCCCTTAAAGTTCATATTTCCACATACCATTCTTCTGTTCGAAGTCGACATTCCTTGGCCTCCTTTTCTAGGACCTGAGATTTTACCTGAATTTTAGAAGAGGAAACAGAAAAAAAAAGCAGAGGGCTCAGGGCTAGAGATTCAAGTACGTTTAGGAGTCAGTGCAGGCAACAGTCTCATCCTGAGTGACTAAGTTTATGTTCTATAAAGTACAAAGACCATTTATAAGAGCTTTGACTTTTCTGTCCCGCACCCTCACAAACAGTGGGGCTTACTTCGAGTTTCGCCTTGTCGTTCTGCAGTTTCTCAATGGTTTCCATGTACTTCCGAGTCAGGCCATCGACCACTGATTGGTTCTGGGCAGCCTCCGTCTCCAGTGTGGTCAGCCGATTCCTTAGCTCTGCCTCCACGTGTTTGTGCTGCTCATCAGCTTCAAAGAACTGAAAGGAAAAGAACATTTCTCAAAATATCCTCATGCATATCATCAAAACGGAAAGAACAGCAGCAAATGTTCACTGAAAAGCTTCCATATGATTGTATATGGCCACTACACTAAACCCACCATGATCTCTTTGAGTACTCACTGTACAAGGGCTGTTGAAAGGAATGAAAAGATAATAGAATTTTCCTACGTTTCCCTATATAAAGTGAGGGGTGGTGGTGGTGGTGGTGGTATACCGTAGAGTCCGTTCCGACTCAGAGTGTTCCTGTACAGGGTTTCCGAGGCTGTAAATCTTTACGGAAGCAGAAAGCCTCATCTTTCTCCCACGGAACAGCTGGTAGTTTTGAACTGTTGACCTTGAGGTTAGCAGCCCTATTCACAATCACTACGCTATCACTATGCTACCAGAGTTCCTTATATAAAGTGAGCTGTTGCTGTTGTTGTTAAGTGCTGTCAAGTCGATCCCGACCCATAGAGACCCTGTATAGGGTTTCCAAGGAGTGACTGGTGAGCTTGAACCACTGACCTTGCAGTTCAAACGACTTTGCAGTCTGACACATTAGCCCACAGAGCCACACCAGGACTCTGATATACTCTTATTTCTGTATTCTTAAGCTACAAACTTAACTCTGCTGTCCTCTAAAGAAAAGATATTTTAAATTTTATATCCACATTAAGATACACATGAGATTCAAGAAACGAGTAAATGACGCGCCATATCCACCTAAGAATGAAGAGACATACAAGACCCACAGATACACAAAACAGTCTACCGTATCTGCATTGGACTTTAACATTCTATCTCATACAATCTGGTTTTAAATCTATCGTGAAATATACTCACTTGTATGTGCAACCGTTCGTTCTCTTCTATCTTCTTTTGTAGATCTTCATCAAATACACTCTTCTGCTCTTGACTCAACTGAGAGGAAGATTCTCCACTTTTCTGATAGAAAGAACAAGTTATGTCCACATAACTTTCATCCTTTAGAGAAACATCCTAAGGTACACAGATTCGCTATCACCTTAGGAGCTTGTCTCTTCTATGTGTTCACCACTCCCAAAAAATCCTGCAAAAGGGCATACAGTCCCATCATTTCACTTTTCCTATGTGACACAAGTTGAAACTACAAATATATGACAGGAAAGCTTAAAAGAGATAGACAAAAAAGTAGGTAAGGCTGACTAAAGAGTTGTTGTTGTTGTTGTTAAGTGCCGTTAAAGAGTAGGTAGATGAATTCAGTCACAGTTCTGCTGGAGGACAGAACAGGCCCAGAAAGCTAACAATGTAAGTATACTAAGATATCTCATTTCAGTTTGATCTTCTGGTTTGGGAAATGACAATTTTAGCTATTCTTAAAGTCTGAATTGATAAGTTAAACTCCTTTAAGAAATTGTAATAAATTGCTTAAAAGCATTCACAAAGATAAGCTTATCCAGAGTACACATAAATTTTTAATTTCTTAAAAAAGCATAACCATACCAAGTAAAGCTATTATAAATAATAATAAGAGAAAAGCTCAAAGATTATGAAAAATACCTTCCTTTTGCTTTTTCATTAACATTTTCTAAAGAAAATAATAGCACTATTTAAAAGATCCAATAATGAACATTTGTTTTCATACACTATGCAGAACTGAAACTATTCAAGAGAAGTCTAACAAAGAAACTGTGTCCACACATCACTCACCACCCTTCTCTGACTTCCTAGTACCCTTACTTCTCACTCAAATGAAATCATCGACTGAGCTAAAATGATACCATTTAGCTCTGTAAAAATTGAAAAGTCCCTTTGAAAATGCAGCAGCGATCTTAAAAAACATTAAAGAGTCAACGTGTTTAAAACACAAGAGGTGCACAAGGGACATTGCTGAATAGTGGTATATTCTGGGTTGGCCACACTTCCAAACTGGGACAGCTTTAATGAAAATTCATGTAGAAGTCTTCTCACCAAACCTCTGCAAAAACAGTCCTGGAAGAAGACCTGGGAGCATTGTTGGAGTTGATAGCTATAGATGTGGCTTCTTTCCTGCCCAGGATCTTTAAGGATTTCCACAGCCTATGTGTTTTGGGAAACTTTCCCAAGAGATTCCAATGTGGACCTGTTCTGCCTTCTCTGTTCTCTGTTCCCTTTTTATTTGAAAACTACTGCTCTAAAGAATTCTTTCATGTACAGGAAATGTTTACATGAAATGTTGTTTTTGTTGTTAGGTGGAGTTGAGTAAGTACCAACTCATAGTGCATTAACAGATCAAATCACTCCCCACTCTGGGCTACTCTCACAATCTTTGTTTCACTTGAGTCCATTGCTGCTGCCGTTGTCCCAATCCATATCGTTGGGGGTCTTCCTCTTTCTCGCTAACCCTCAACTTTACCAAGCATGGCGTCTTTCTCCAGGGACTAGTCCCTCTTGATAATATGTTCAAAGTATGAGAGACAAATCTGGCTACTCTGGCTTTTAAGGAGCAATCTGGCTATACTTCTTCCAACATAGATTTTTTGTTTGTTTGTTCTTATGGCAATCCATAGTACTTTTAATATTCTCCTCTAACACCATAAATCAAATGCATCAATTCTTCTACAGTTTTCCTTATTCACTGTCCAATTTTCACATGCATATGAGGCTACTGAAAATACCAAAGCTTGCGTCAGGAGCACCTTAGTCCTCAAACTGACATCTTTGTTCTTCAACACTTTAAAGAGGTCTTGAGCAGCAGATTTTCCTAATGCAATATGTCATTTGATTTCTTGACTGTTGTTTCCATGAGTAGACCTGACAAATGAAGTCTTTGACAGTGTCAATCTTTTCTCCATTTATATGGATGCTGTTTATTGGACTAGTGGTGAGGAATTTTGTCTTCTTTACATTGAGACGCAACCCATACCAAAGGTTGTGGTTTTTGATCTTCATCAGTTAGTATTTTAAGGTCTCTTTGCTTTCAGCAAGCAAGGTTTTATCATCTGCATATTAAAAGTTGTTAATGTGTATTCCTCCAATCCTGATGGCACATTCTTCTTCATATAATCCAGATTCTTGATTATTTATTCAGTATACAGATTGAATAAGTATGGTGAAAGAATACAACCCTGGAGCACACCTTTCAAATTTTAAACCATTCAGTGTTCCCTTGATCTGTTTGAATGACTGCCTCTTGGTTTACGTATAGGTTACTCATGAGCACAATTAAGTATTCTGGAATACTCAGTCTCCTCGATGCTGTCCATTGCTTGTCATGATCCACACACTTGAAAGACTTTGTGTAGTCAATAAAGCATAGGTAAACATCTTTCTGGTATTCTCTGCTCTCAGCCAAGATCCATCTGATGTCAGCAATGATATCCCTTGTTCCACGTCTTCATCTGAATCCAGCTTGAACCTCTGGCAGTTCCCTGTCAATGTACAACCACAGTCATTTTTTAATTATCTTTAACAAAATTTACTTGCATGCGATATTAATGATATTAATCAATGATTCCTGCATTCTGTTGGGTCACCTCTCTTTAAAGTGGGTATAAATATGGGTCTCTTCTAATCAGTTGGCCAGGCAGCCATCTTGTAAATTTCTTGGCATAAATGAGTGGCTCCAGTGCTATCTGAGTCTGTTGAAATATTTCAATTTGTATTTCATCAATTCTTGGAACGTCGTTCTTTGCCAATGCCTTCAGTGCATCAAGGACTTCTTCCCTCACTACTACTGACTCTTGATCATATGCTACCTCTTGAAATGGTTGAACATTGTCCATTTCTTTTTGGTACAGTGACTGTGTATTCCTTTCATCTTCTTTTGGTGCTTTCTGCATCATTCAATATTTTGCCCATAGAATCCTTTACTATCCCAAATCAAGGCTTGGCTTTTTCTTCAGTTCTTTCAGGTTGAGAAATGCTGAGCCTGTGCTTCCCTTTTGGTTTTCTAACTCCAGGTCTTTGCGCATTTCATTATAATATCTGACTCTGTATTCTCGAACCATCCTCTGAAATTTTCTGTTCAGCTCTTACCTCTTTGTTTCTTCCATTTGCTTTAGCATCTCAAAGCTGGAAAGCAAGTTTCAGAGTCTCTTCTGACATCCATTTTGTCTTCTTACTGCCCTTTTGCATTCTTTCTTTTTTTCCCCCCACAGTTTTCTGATTTATTATAGAAATAACATTACAATTCAGGATCAGGAATGATGGGAACAATGTCTTTCAATCAGGTAAACCTCTTCTTAATTCTACCCACAGGCACTTCCATGATCTTGTCCCTTGGCCTCTGTTCTGCTCAAGCAAATGTTAAAGTTCTTGTAGTGCTGCCAATAGATACTCAAAGGCACTCTATTCTGCCAGTAAGTCTCAGACCAAAGGCTTTCAGATTTAGCTGTCTGAGTCAGCAAACCTAGCTGTACCCCAATTAAATGCCTGGAGGCAGTCAGCTTCCACCAGTGTTACAAAGCTCTTTTTTTTCTTTTTAAACACAAAGCTCTTTTAACTGTTTCTACAAGTTGCATTATTTCTTATGATATCATCCCACAACTCTTCTGGTCTTTGGTCATTTGTGTCTATTTTGTCATATCTGTTCTTGAGATGATTTCTAAATTCAGGTGGGATCCATTCAAGATCATATTTTGGCCCTCTTGGACTTGTTTTAATTTTCATCAGCTCAGCCTGAACTTGTATATGAGCAAATGATGGTCTGTTTCACAGCATGTCCCTGTCCTTATCTTGGCTGATGATATGGAGCTTTTCTACCCTTTCTTTTCACAAAAAATGTTATTTCTGTGTATTCAATCTGGTGAACTCCATGGGTACAGTCGTCTTTTATGTAGCTTTAAAAAAAACATGCAGTTAAGAACTCACTGGTCTTGCAAAATCTATCTTGTGATCTCCGACACTGCTTCTATCACTGAGGCCATATTGTCCAACGACTGATCCTTCCTCTTTATTTCCAACCTTTGTATTGCAATTGCCAGTAATTATCAATATATCTTGACTGCATATTTGATCAATTTCAGACTGAAGAAATTGACAGAATTCTTCAATTTCATCATCATTGATTTTAATGGTTGGTGCGTAG